TTTGTTCTGGTATGATGTCTGCGTAAAGCGATATGGTCAAGCTATTTTCTTCTGCATTCTTGTGAGGATTCTGACTGGGGGTTGTGCTGATCGGTGTTTCCCCCTTCCCTTGTCTTTGGCCTCGTGAGGATGGTCGCCTCATTTCTCGATGATTTGATCCATGCCATGCAAAATAACACAGGAGGGAATAGCTCTTCGATACGCGAACCAGATCCCAAGCTTTGCAGCTATGGCAAGGAGCGCTGTAAGAGATCTCGATCCCCAAAACGACCTCCAGTTTTTGAGAATCAGGTCGCGACAGCACGAGATTTTGGTCGCACCAGACAACGATTTCACATTGATTGTGATTCAAGATCCGACGTCTCACGAATGACCACGGCACGGCCAGTGAGGAGGAGAGCTGCCAGACTCAGTTGGAGCATCGTGCGCCAAAGCGGGTGGCCGCGTGCGATGCTGTCCACCCGCAATCTCCCTTTGATCCTCCGGGATCCTGAAGCAGGTCTGCACTAGAAAGGCATCTTTTTTCATCACCTGAGTTTCTTAAGAGAGATTGATGTCACCTGTTAAGAAGTGGATTCGAACCACTGACACAAGGATCGAAGAAGAGGTCAACGGTGTGGTGGCAGTCCCCTCTGTTGTCGTCCTGCTCCAGTCCACCTTCATGCAGAGATCTCCTCCGTCAACTCAACGAAATGACACAAGAGCAGCAGCCAATCTGCTGTTCTTGGGCAGTCAACACATTTGCGACAAGCTTAGTGGACTCAACAACAACTCCAATTGCACAAATGCCCTCCCTGACCATCACAACATCACAACCGTTGTTATCATCATCTCACTAGTCATCACGAGCATTGTCATCATCAGCATTGCCATATGCCTAATCCACAAAATGGAAGCTGGAGAATTTCAGAGGTACACTCTAGCAGAATCCACGTGATACAAAGATGTGGGCGCTGCAACCACCTTAAGCCACCACTAGCTTTCATGACTTCCCACACCCATAAGTTTTCAGTTGGCCTGTTAGATTGATGATCCGAGCGCTTTCTTCAGAAGTTGGCCCACCTTTTCAGGAGCTTGTGGCGGTTCAGCTCGTTAAAAGAGTTCGGTTGCAGGCTACAAGCAATATGTTAAAGGGCCCCGATTCACTCAGGAGGCTTTCCTCTGGGTGTTGGAGGTCATGGCGGCCTCCRGACCATGTCTTTTTCGTTTTTCTTTGCGAGCAACAGGACCCAGTGCCCAAACCATCTTTTCATGATAGAGAAATCATTGAATGAATGACTTTTGACTCTTTGAGTTTTCACTGATAAGGAAAGGGAAAAAAGAACAAAAGAAAAGAAAATCCTGAACTGATAACAGTCCTGGTTTGGCTGAGGGCAAATTCAATGGGCCTCCTGTTCCTGATGGCAAGTCAGATACTGGACTTCAGCCTGTCCTGTCCTGTCCTGTCAGAGTAATTTTGTCAGAGAGTTTTT